TTCATATCTTTGTGAATCCCCTTAGCAGAAAGGGTGGTCAGACCATCCAGCACCTTCTCATTGACTAAGAGATCTCCTTTTTTTTTTTTTTTTTAACTTCAGAGCCCTGGGAAGTTAAATGGTTCCCAGCGCGTTTCTAGTCCAAAATGAAAATACAGCAGCATGGTTGAGGCCCCTCAGAAACACAGGACAAGGGTCAAGTTCTGTGGTCTGGCTTCTACAAATGGGATTTCTTTTCCTTTCTCTTCCTCCTTTTCCCACCTTATCTTCCTTCCTCCTTCCTCCTCTCTCTCCCCTGTGCTGGGGCTTCAACACAGGGCCTCCGGCAAGCTAGGTAAGCACTCTACCACACACACACATCCCCAGCCCAAGAATAGGAGATTTTTCTGCAAGGAAACCCAGTGAAGTTGACCTTTGAAAACACCCAGAACCTGCCCGGAAAGCAATTCCAATCAACTATCCTCTAAATATGGTTGATAAGAACTGGTTTCTTGTTGGGTGTGGTGGCACAACATTGTAATACCAGCAACTAGGGAGGCTGAAGCATGAGGATTGCCAAGTTCAAGACTGATCTCTGCAGGGTCTCTCTCTCTCTTAATATTTATTTTTTAGTTTTAGGTGGACATAATATCTTTATTTTGTTTTTATGTGGTGCTGAGAATCGAATCCAGTGCCTCATGCATGCTAGGCGAGCACGCTACCACTTGAGCCACATCCCCAGCCCCTCTCTCTCTTTTTTAAAAAATATTCTTTTAATTGTAGATGGACACGATACCTTTATTTTAATTACTTATTTTTATGTGGATTGAACCCAGTGCCTCACTTGTTCAAGGCAAACACTCTGCCACTAAGCCACAACCCAGCCCAGCAGGGTCTCTCTTTAGTGAGAGAAACAAAAAGGGCTGGGGTTGAGACCCTGTCTCAAAAACAAACCAAACTGGGGATATAGCTCCGTGAAAAAGTGCCCTGGGTTCAACTCCCAGTACCTAAAACAAAGTGATTTCTTGGAGCTGGGTGTGGCTCAGTGGTAGAGCTCATGCTTAGCATGTGTCAGGCCCTGGGTTCTTAGGACTAAGAACACTTGACCCTCCAATAGGTTCACCCTCTGGAAAGACCTGATTGGCTCAAACCCCATCCTTTGGCTTGGATGTCAAGGAGGATGGGTTCCTTAGAAATGCGGTGAAAAACGGCTGGTTCAACTCCAGTTCCCCAGTTGCCCTTCTCGTCCTGAGGGCCCAATTGCCAGTGCTCAGGCCTGTTGGACCTCACCTGGGCCATGCCCTTGGTACCGTTCACGGAGGCCATGTTGGAGAGATCTGTGCTGATGCTACAGGTGAAGCTGCCATGGACCCCTCCTGGGTACTGAAGTAGCACTGAGACAGTGTCGTCCACACCTGGAGGGAAGTCACAGGGCTGAGTCTCGGGGGTAAGACTGACTGCATGGGCCTCCGATTCTGCTCGTGGAAACTTGGCCCAGAGACCTTGCTTCTTATTCAGCAGTGAACAAGAATGAAGTATGAAAATAGAGATGACCTTCAAAAACACTATGCTGAAAGAACCAGACACAAAATTCACATGTCCTGTGATTCCATTCACAAGATATGTCCCCAGTTGGCAAATCTGAAGATCTAGAAAGTAGAGTAGTGATCATTGATGACTGAAGGAGGGAGGGGAGAACTGGGGAGGTACATTCAAGGGCTTGGGAAGGGTTGTGGGTTTCTTTGTTTTGTTTTTGGTACCAGGGATTGAATTCAGAGGTGCTTAACTACATCTCCAGCCCTTTTTATTTTTTTATTTTGAGAACGGATCTCACTATGTTGTGTAGGGCCTCACTAAGTTTTGCTAAGGCTGGTTTCAAACTTTCGATCTTCCTGCCTCTGCCTCCTGAGCCACTGGGATTACAGGCAGGCACCACCACAAAGAGCTTTAATTCTATTTTTTTTTTTTTTTACAGTACCTTTATTTTATTTATTTATTTTTATGTGGTGCTGAGGATGGAACCCAGTGCCTCACATGTGGTGGGCGAGTGCTTTACCACTGAGTCACAACCCCAGTTCTAATTCTATCTTGAGACAGCATTCACTAGATTCCAGGCTGGCTTCCAACTGGCAATCCTCCTGCCTTGGCCTCAAGAGTAGCTTGGATTAGAAGWGTGGACCACCACTACCTGGCTAAATTTTTTTTTWAATTTTCTGTATTGGGGATTGAACTCAGGGCCCAGTGCATGCCAACAAGCACTTTGCCACTGAACTACATCTCTGGCCCTGAAATTATTTTTATTCTGTTTGTGTGTTTTCCCTATTTCTTGTTTGTTCTTTCATTCAGTGATTGCTATTGGAAGTCACTGTTTTGGAGCAGTTCTTTTTGCAGCAAAAATTTGCTGAGACAACTTCAAAAAATAATCACCATTTATATTTCTTCTTTCCTTCTTTTTAGTACTGGGGATTGAACCCAGGGGCACTTTACCACTGAGATATATTCCAGTASTTTTTATTTTTTTAATTGTTTAAAAAATTTTTTTTAGTTATAGAGACACATACCTTTATTTCATTAATTTTTATGTGGTGCTCAGGATTGAACCCAGTGCCTCACATGTGCTAGGCAAGTGCTCTACCACTTAGCTACAATTCCAGCCCTTTATTTTTTATTTTGAAACAGAATCTCACTAAGTTGCTGAGGCTGGTCCTGAACTTGGGATCCTCCCGCCTCACCCTCCTGAGCTGCTGTCTTTACAGGTGGGTGCTACCACATCTGGCCCGTGGGTTATATTTCTTAACTGCTGACCATTTGCTGCAACAGTTACTTCATCAATTTCCACAATAACCCTATGATTGACACTTTACCAGTCAAATAATTAAGACTCAGAGACATTGAGGCACTTGTCCAAAATCACACAGTAAAGTCCCCAGTACAGAGCTCACCTGCTTCTCAACACTGATTTTCCCTGACTACACATGGGAAGGTCATCTAGCTGATTCTCATGGCCTGGGAGACTTGTTCCCCGCTGGGGACTGCAGGGAGAAAGGCTCACTCCCACSGCCCACCATCAAGGAGTTTAGCGTGGACAATACCTGTTTCATGGAGCTTTCCAACTGCTGAAATCTTCTCTGGCTTCTGCCCTCCRAAGACCATGGAAATGAACTGGGAGCAGTAGATTCCGAGGTCCAGCAAACTGCCACCTGCCTGGGCCCAGTCTGTGGACCTGGGTACATGGACGAGGTTTTTCCCGAATTCTATCCGAACCACTCGAAGGTCCCCTATAGTTCCCTGAGCCAAAACAGACCTCAGATCTTCTATGGCAGGAAAAAAACGGGTCCAGATGGCCTGCAGATGACAGAGGGAAATGGCAGGGCACAGGAAAGGAAAGAGTGGGGTCAAGGCCCAGGAGTCGACTACCCAGTTCTTTTCCCTCCTGGGCTCCAGTCTGGAGGAGGAACCCACTGCTCCCAGACTCCAAAGTAGGGATCCCTGCCCTCCAAAGCTGCCTCTGTCTGTCCTTGTTCTTCCTCTCTGGGACCATCATCCCTGTTGAATTGTGTCCCCTGCCCTGTTCATGTATTGAATTCTCAACTCCCCAGAACCTCTGAGATGGATTGTATTTTGGGGATAGAGTTTGTTTTTGTGGTGCTGGGGATGGAACTCAGGGCCTTRTGCATGCAAGGCAAACACTCTACCAACTGAGCTATATCTCCAGCCCTTGTTTGTTGTTTTTGAGATGGGGCCTCCCTGTATTGCTCTGACTGGTCTCAGACTCCTGGCCTCAAGCCATCCTCCCACCTCAGCCTCCTGAGTAGCTGGGACTGTGGAAGCACAAACCTCTGGGTTTCTAGAGTGATATCTACATTAACATGAAGTCATTAGGGCGGATCATAATCAATATGATGGGTGTCCTTACGAGAAGAGGAAATGAAGACAGATATACACAGAAGGAAGACCGTGTGAAGACAGGAGAAGCTGCCATCTGTAGGCCAAGGACAGAGACCTGGGAAGAAACGGATCCCGCCTAAATTTTGATCTCAGACTTTTGGCCTCTGGAATTGTGGGAAATACATTTCTGTTGTTTAAACAACCTCGTTCATGGTAGTTGGGTATGACAGCCCCAGCAAACTAATATACCCAGTCTGTCCCTGATGCTGGTTCACCCTCCATATGGCCCCCGAGGCAGCCAGGGCCCCACCCCTTTGAAAAACAGGACCCCTGAAACTTAAGGAAGGAAATTCTCTCAGGGGAGATGGAGACAGCCAGATTAGATCCAGCTTAAGGGGTTAACAGACACGAGAAAATTAGGAGTTAAGAAGTGCACCAGTCTTCAAGCCTGTGGATAACAGCATCAGGAAATAGAGAGTGGGAAGTGAGCTCCACCTTCTGAGACCACGCAGTCACCAAGAAAGACACCAAGAAAGACAGATCACTAAAATCAAACCCACTGAGACAGGACAACAGTCTGCCCTGTTCTGAACATAATGTCAGGGACTCTTCCAGATGACAAGGGGCAAATTCCAGGTGGTAAGGGGGCAAACACATGCATAGAACAGTCACTAACATCACCCACAGTCACTTTTACTTCAGGAGCATAATGAAAATCACACCCCAAGATGGTGATTGAAGGTGGTAATGAGACATAGGCAGCGTGAAGAAGCTTGTCAAAGAAGAGCGTGCTGCCATAAAAACCCTGCCTCCACCTGCCGTGTCTCAAGAGACCAAGGCCCATGCCAGGCATGGTGGTGCACGCCTTCAATACTAGTAACTCGGGAGGCTGAGGCAGGAGGATTGCAAATTTGAGGCAGCCTCAGCAACTTAGCAAGACCCTGTCTCAAAATATAAAATAAGGGCTGGGGCAGAGAGAGAAGATGTGAGGGAAGGGGAGGGGGATAGTCGGGGATAGGAAAGGTAGCAGAATACAACAATTACTAATAGGGCATTATGTAAAATTGTGGATGTGTAACCGACGTGATTCTGCAATCTGCATTTGGGGTAAAATTGGGAGTTCATAACCTACTACATTCTAATGTATGAAATGTGATATGTCAAGAGCTTTGTAATGTTGTGAACAACCAATAAAAAAAAAAAAAGAAAAAAAAATATAAAATAAGGGCTGGGTCTGTGGCTCAGTGGCAGAGCACTTGCCTCGCACATGTGAGGCACTGGGTTCCATCCTCAGCACCACATAAAAATAAATAAATAAAGATATTGTGTTCATTTACAACTAAAAAAATATTTTAAAAATATACATAAAATAAAAGGGGCTGGGTATGTGGCTCAGGGATAGAGCACCCTTGGGATCAATCCCCAGTCCAACAAAAATTTTAAACATATATATAAATATATATATATTATATATATATATATATATATATATATATATTTTTTTTTTTTTTTTTTTAAGAATAAAGAGCTTTGTTCCTATCCTAGTTGTGCCCTCCTCTGATTCTTCTTACGGAAAGCACAAGAATCCACTAACTTGGTGACAGACCCAGAGGGATCTTTTCTTCTCTAAGAGCTGACTCTGTCTTACCCCTCCCTGCTCAATACCTTTCTGTGGTTGTCCACTGCCCAGTGGCGGTTCCCCTTCATTTGGAGCATTTTATAGGAAAGATATGCTGCACATGCTTTGCATTATAAACCCTCCCAGCATTCCTGCTAGGTGGTTAACATTGTGTCCACTGCATTGACAAGAGAAAATTGAGGCTCTCAGGTCATATCCTTTGCTTTAGATCACACAGTAACTACRGATTTGGTGTTGTTAGGAACCATTATACTCCCCAGCATTGAAACAACTTCTGGTTGCTATATGGCACTGCTGGTACTGCCCACTGCCACTTAGCAACCATCTTAATTCCTGGCACTCTCTTGGACCCTTTGGATAGATAAATCTAATAAGAGCAAAGCAATGGTTGCTAAATGTTGAGGATTGGTAGAGGGTTTTTTGGCCCATCTCACCTTGATCCCTGGAAATCCACCCAAACTAAACCCTTTTTGAAAGACTGAAAAATGATTCACACAATCTAAGCAAGTCCTGCCATGTTTGCTAAGGGCCGAAAGCTGTGGCTCTCCCAGGGATAGATGTTGCCAGTAGATTAAACTACATCCTGTTAAAAACGCACTGACCTGGGTCCATTTTTGTGACCGTCTTGACTGTTGGCAAACTCTTTCCTGTGTTCTTCCAAAAATGCCTACTTTCAACCACAGACATGTCTAGCGTCAGCAAGCAGCCCCCATCAAATGTTGACAGGGTCCCTCCACCCTCACCTCCATCAGGAACAGGCCCCGTGAGCGGGCCTCCGCCACCATCTCCCGAACTTCCGCGGCGTTCACACCCATGGGCTTCTCGCACAGGACCGCTTTGCCGGCTCTCAGGCACAGCAACACCGCGGCCTTGTGCTGGGGATGCTGGGTGCCAATATAGGCCACTTCTAGGGTGAAAGGAAGGATCTCCTTTAAGAGGTCAGCAGCCCTGCCCACACCATCCCTGAGGGGCCCTCCCACAATTTAGAGGTCCCGCCCGAGGTCCCATTAGGAAGCAACTAAACAAATGCTGTCGCCTCTAACCATTCTCTACCAGCAATCTATTTTCAGCCTTCTGAAAAGATGGTAAGAAATCGCGAGTTCAAAGCCAGCCTCAATAACTTAGCGAGGTGCTAGGCAACTCAGTGAGACCCTGTCTCTAAATAAAATACAAAAATGGGCTGGGGATGTGGCTCAGTGGTAAGTGCCCTAGTTCAATCCCCAGTACAAAAAAGAAAGAAAGAAGGTGGAAAAAACAAACAAACAAACAAACAAACAAAAATTGCTGCGTCCTCACCACGCCAGCAGGAGGTAGATATTATTGTTTTTGCACGATTTCTAACTGCGTAAACTGAGAAAGGTAAGCATAACCAGAAAAACGAGAATTCTGGCAACCTGACTCCAGAGCCAGGCTGCATCCACTATGAGATCTCGCCTTTTGATCCAGAACAATCCAGAACATTAGACACCCTAGTCACGGGGTCCTGCTCCTCTGCCCCCCCCCCCTGCCTTTTTATTTTGAAGAGATGGGGGTCCGGCCCAGGCTGATCTCAAACTCCTGGGATCAAGCAATTCTTCTGCCTCAGCCTTCTGAGGAGCTGGGACTGCAGGTGCGTGACTCACAGGGTCTATTTGAGCTTTCGCCACTCACCCACATTCGGGTCCTTCGCCAATTCTTCATAAGAGCCATAGGCCTTGGGGATGTCATGTTTCCGTGCAAACTCCTTCGCCCGGCTCAGGTCGCGGGCAGCCACCGCCACCACCTGGAAGGGTGCCAGGGTCAGACTGCAGGGGTGGGACAGGCGAGGAAGACGGGTGACAGAGGAAACGCCGGGTTGGGAGAGATGACTTCCTCCAAGAGATGCAGTCGTGGGGAAGGATGTGACGGGGGCTGGACCCTCGGGTCCTGGGAAAGAGAGCTCTTGGGAAAACCGTAGCTTCTCTTAGCAGTAGTTCAGGTCAAGACCCTCCCAAACCTCAAGCACCTGGGGGGGCGGGTCACAAGACAGAGGTGGAGAAGGAGCCAGAAGATGAGCAGCGGTAGTTGACGCCTTGGGAACCCAGAAACCTGGGATCCTTCCTCCCCGCGCTCAGCCCCTGGAGCCCGCCCTTCCCCGGCGCCTCTTCCCCAGGACTCCGCGGGGAGGCAGACCTGGTGCTCGGAGCGAGGCAGCGCGCACAGCGTGGTCGTGAAGTCGTTGGAAATAAGGCCGGCGGACACAATGCCCCAACGGAGCGCCATCCTTCACGTCTCCGGGCCGCGCAATCCCGGGGGCTGCGGGCGGCTCCCGCGGGTGTTAAAGGACGGAGGCTCCGCCCACCAGGGGGCGAGTCTCTGCCGACCCCCGCCTTAGCTCCAACGCCGCTTCTCATTGGCCTCAAGTCCCAAAGCGAAAGGGGCGGGCATTTGGATCTAGCGTCCCATTGGAAGAGCGCTTTCTGTTCTGTTGCYAAATTGCCGCTTCAAAGTCTTGCGCTCTGGACTTCTTTATGGCGCTCTGGACTTTATTGCGCTCTGGACTTTGTCGCGACCTTGCCTCCTTGACTGCTTTTGTGTGTTTGTGCGCGCGGAGCTGGGGATGCGACCCAAGCGGTCCACGGCTGCATCCCCAGCCACTCTGTGCTGAGTAAGCCTTGGTAGGAGAGAGAGAGAGAG